TGATGAAAACCAAGAAACAAATCTTCCAAGACTACCCACCTCAGCAAAGCTGGTTTTCTTTTTATTCAATGCATTAGAAAAACAGGAAAATAAGTAGGCATAAGAATGCATTTGGATTCCAGTGAACTTGCCTCATACATCACTCTAGAAACAAAATTCCCATTTACACACAGAATTTACAGAAAAGAAATTGGCTACAACTGATCTACAACTAACATGATGAAATGCAGAGGGAAAAAGCTTTTACTGTAATTGTCAGAAATTCATGTTTCCCATTTTTCACTACAGAACATAAGAAATGAGTTGAACATGCTTTTTATTTCACAGAACTAGCAATTTTCTGTCTTTGGAAAGTTTTGAAGGGAGGAGCTCAGAGGTGCTGTGGGAGGGACTAAAATTCATATTAAAGTTTTGGCATGAGAGGGAGAATTGTCAGAGTAGAAAGTTTCTTCTGAGGTTTTGCTTTTTTTTTCCTATTTAGGATGATAAGTATTCATGTTCAGATTCTTCTGATAATTCTTTTTTGGAATTCTGACTGTCAGATTATTCCCAGGATTGAAGAATGCGGACTTTCATGTTCTCAGGTAATCTCTTACTTGTTCCTGTTTGCTATCTATTAATATAGTAGTTGTATGCTGCCAAAATAAATGTAAGAAAAACAAGAAAGCAAAAATGGAAAAATATTTCAGCTGTCCTGAACATTCACTTTATATTCGTGACATTCTGAACTAAGTATCCAAAGTGGCAAAGATGACTGTTAGAAAGGGAGTAAGAAAATGCATTTTACACTACTTCAAATTGCTGTTGTTAGTACCATTTTTAATCGGTGTTTTGTATTTGAAAAAAAAATTATTTAGTTCATATTCATTGCTTTGGAGAGTCAGTTTTTACAACAGCAGTGGTGCCAAAGAGATGAGGGAGGGAGGAACGGGAGGTTTCAGAAATTGTTAATTATGTTAGGAATATATGAACCACTGACTTTCCTGTGAATAAATGAATTAAACTTGAGAAAGATTAAAACCTGTTTTTCATTTTGAGGGACGAATGTAACTGCAGTATTAAATTTAATGACTTATGTATGTGCATAAAAGCGTAGTGTGAACCATACCATCTCTTGAATTTTGTATGCTTCCAAATATCCCCACAAAGGGGCAGTGTGGAGATAGTCTGCTTCTGTTGGCATGCTGAAACAGCGAGAATACAGTAAATTGAAAGATAAAAGAAGAAAGCATAAAATGAAAGAGAATCTGATTGCCTAAATGTGGTGGTACTACCCAGATATTAAGTTAGTACATGTTACAGCAATTTTTTTCTATATTTTATACAGGTATCCTAGAAAACAGTAGGAATAAAGATGCTTATAAAATACTAGATTGAGGGACCCTCCCCCCAATATTTAAAGTTGTTTAATATTCCTGCATTCAAATTCTGTAGCCTCTATCCACTTAGATAATGGTTTTAGAATAATAAAATATAGCCATAAGAGATTAATCTCTACATGTACCTGAGCACTTTTCAAGAATTTTTATGTACTTATGTTTATGGATGCAAACACATTTTTATTTTAAATAATTTATGCTCCTTGGTCTGCTGCAATGAGAGTTTAAAATAGAAATGATTTATTGTTCTAATTTATCCCTCCAAAGAGTGTATGACTATCAGCACATAAAAAAAATCAGAAACCTTTTTTGGTGGGATTCAGTCTAGGGGATAAGATTTGCCTCTGGGAACCTTGTAGGGCATCTTTCTCTGTCATATCATAGGTAGGTTGGTCAAGAAGACCGATTCACCAGATGCCTAAAATATAGACACAACACTGAGGTTTTGTAGGCTGGATCACTTTCTTTGCCTTCAAGAGTTTGTCTTACAATTCTTCCAATACTGAAGGTTGGATAACTGAGAAAGGTGTATTTTTTTTTTTAATCTACAGGGGAAATACGTTGTTTCCAGTATAATGCAATCAATCATTTGTGATGCGAAAGATAGGATTCAGTTCATGTTCTCTATGTAATGTTTCTGCTAGTTTATTCAGTAGAATCTTGAATGAATTACTGAATTTTAAGACAAAAATGTTTTCTCACTGGGAACAATAATGAACTCAACAGGGCAATTCACTGCCAGCGTAGTATTTTCAATCTAGTGCAAAACATTTTAGCTACGTGAACTTTAGAGTCTCATGACTAACTTGTTAGAGAATTGGAAGCGATTTCAATTCCCCTACATACCCAGCCACAATTTGTGGTCTCAATCCCATTCCTACTCGAGTTACTTTAAAAGGGAGCAGTTTATCTTCTCCACAATTTATAACCCAATGCTCTTTATAGGGGTACTAACCAGGGTTTACAATTTGTCTTTGTCTGTGCAATGTATGTGTGCTGCCTTCTGCTATAGCACATCAGATCACAAAGTAGAGAATCAATTCCGTTTTTCTAGCAATTTGCTTAATATGATAATTAGACATAATTTTAAAACTATCAAAAGTTTTCTGTAGCTGCTATTGCTACAAGTGAGTGTTACAGAAAATTGTTTTCCTCTTTATGAACTTTTCCCATAAGTTTGTATAGCGGATTTCTCATCTGCAGTGTCAGCCCTGAGGTTATGTGGTTCTTCATAAAGCAGTAGGGGAAGGAAAAGGAATTAATTTGCATTTTTCTGCATTTTTCAAACTGTGGGTACTGTCAGAAGGTTTTGAGCAGGTTTAGTAACTGAAACTGCTGAGTTTGACCAGCAGACTAGATTTTAAGGTGATTATGTCCCTTGAATATTTGTAAGCAGTTTTGACTTGCTTGGGTACTTCTTATCAGAGTAAAGCATTAGTTGTACTTAAGAGAGAAATAGCGACATAACTGTTTTGAGGTATGTGACTTAAAAACCCATCACATTGAACTGTTTAGATTTTGGATCTTACTACAATTTTATGACTCATTCTTAGTTTACTGTAAGTATTCAGAAAGTCATCCTTGCATTGCCTTGTATAGAATTGTAGAATCATAGAATGGTTTGGGCTGGAAGGGGCCTTCAAAGGTCTTCTAGTCCAACCCCCCTGCAATGAGCAGGACATCTGCTTCTAGACCAGGTTGCTTAGAGCCCCTTCCAACCTGACCTTGAATGTTTCCGGGGATGGGGCATCTACCGCCTCTCTGGGCAACCCATGCCAGTGTTTCACAACCCTCATAAAAAATTTCTTCCTCATATCCAGTCTAAATCTACACTCTGTTAGATTAAAAGCATTACCCCTTGTCCTATCACAACAGACCCTACTAAAAAGTTTGTCCCTATCTACCTTATAAGCCCCCTTTAGGTACTGAAAGGCCACAGTAATGTCTTCCCAGAGCCTTCTCCAGGCTGAACAACCTCAACTCTCTCAGCCTTTTCTCACAGCAGAGCAGTTCCAGCCCTCAGATAATTTTTGTGGCCCTCCTCTGGACCCACTCCAACAGGTCCATGTCTTTCCTGTGCTGAGGGCTCCAAAGCTGGATGCAGGACTCCAGGTGGGGTCTCACCAGAGCGGAGCAGAGGGGCAGAATCACCTCCTTCGACCTGCTGGCCACACTGCTTTTGATGCAGCCCAGGATACGGTTGGCCTTCTGTGCTGTGAGCGCACGTTGTCGGCTCATGTCCAGCTTTTCATCCACCAAGTCCTTCTCGGCAGGGCTGCTCTCAGTCCCTTCATCCCTCAGCCTGTTTTGATACTGGAGACTGCCTTGACCCAGGTGCCCGACCTTGCACTTGCCCTTGTTGAACTTCATGAGGTTCACACGGGCCCACCTCTCCAGCTTGTCCAGGTCCCTCTGGATGACATCCCGTGCCTCACGCATGTCAACTGCACCACTCAGCTTGGTGTCATCTGCAAAATTTCTGAGGGTGCACTCTATCCTGCTGTCTGTGTCATTGATTAAGATATTAAACAGTACTTGTCCCAGTATAGACCCCTGAGGGACACCACTTGTCACTGATCTCCATTTGGACATTGAACTGTTGACCACCACCCTCTGGAGGCGGCCATCCAACCAATCTCTCATCCACCGAACAGTCCACCCATCAAATCCATGTCTCTCCGGTTTAGAGAGAAGGATGTTGTGGGGGGCCATGTCAAAGGCCTTACAGAAGTCCAGATAGATCACTTTTAAACTGTGTAAAAAAAATAAAAATAAAGAAACCCAACAGGGCAGGAACCTAAATTCTGAGACCCAATGTAAAAGTCAGATTTGGTGGTTCTCAGAGTGACACTGAGGGTTTTTGTGGGGAAGGGGAAGGGTGGTCAGAGATGGGTTCTCTTGTTAGCCTTTTGTGTCTACTGATGTAGTCACTCCATCATAGAAGTCCACTAGGTGGGTCAGGCAGGACTCGCCCCTGGTGAAGTCATGCTGTCTCGAATCACCTCCCTGGCCTCCATATGCCTTAGCAGAGCTTCTAGAAGGATCTGTTCCATGATCTTCCTAGGCACAGAGGTGAGGCTGAGAGGTCAGTAGTTCCCGGCATCCTTCTTTCTACCCTTTTTAAAAATGGGTACAATATGTCCTTTTTTCCAGTCACCATGGACTTCGCCTGAGTGCCGTGACTTTTCAAATATGATGGAGAATGGCTTGGCAACAAAATCAGCCAATTCTCTCAGGACTCTGGGATGCATCTCATCAGGTCTCATAGACTTATGTATGTTCAGGTTCCTCAGGTAGTCACAAACCTGATCTTCTCTTACAGTGGGGGGGACTTTCCTCCCCCACTCCCTGCCTTGAGGTCCATCCACTCAAGAGGTGTGGGAAAAGAGGTTGCTAGTGAAGACTGAGGCAAAAAAATTGTTGAGTACCTCAGCCTTCTCCTCGTCCATTGTTACTAGCTGGCCAGTCTTGCTCATCATGGGGGGTACACGTTCTTCGACCTTCCTCTTCTGGCTGATGTACTTGTAGAAGCCCTTCTTATTATTCTTAGCATCCCTTGCCAAGTTCAGCTCCAGCTGTGCCTTGGTCCTCCTGACCTCATCCAAACATAACCAGGCAGTGTCCCTACACTCTTCCCAGGATACCTGTCCCTGCTTCCACCAACTGTATATTTCTTTCTTAGTTTGACCAGCATGTCTTGACTCAGCCGTGCTTGTCTTGCCTTCCTTTCCTGATTTCTCACACCTGGGGATCAAGAACTCTTGTATTCTGTGGAAAGCATCCTTAAAGATCTGCCAGCTCTATTCTGCTCCCTTGTCACTGAGGGCAGTTTCCCAGGGGGTCCTATTGACTAACTCCTTTAAGAGCTGCAATTTTGCTTTCCTAAAATTCAGGGACCTGACTTCACTCTTCGCCTGGCCCATATCCCTTGGGAGTGCCAACTCCACCAGTGTGTGATCACTACTGCCTAGGCTGCCTCCAGTCTTGACGTCACTGATTAGCTCCCTTGTGTTGGTGACCAACAGGTCCAGTGTCCATCCAACTGTGCTGGGACTGTCTATTACCTGGCTTAACAAGTTATCCTCAATGCACTCCAGGAGTCTCCTGGATTGCCTGCAGCTCGCCGTGCTACTTTTCCAGCAGATGTTGGGGTGGTTGAAGTCCTCCAGTAGGACAAGAGCCTGTGAGCATGATGCCTCCTGGAG